ACCCTAAAGTTGATATTGGCATTCATTTTTTGCACTGTTAAAAGTTAGAAATCCTGCTCTATAGAAACATAGTTTCAATATTTTGCCAACATTAAAAAAAATGCTTACCTATCTACCATATTTATTCCGAGGATGATAGGGGGAAATACTACTCGAACAGTGTTAGAGGTTTACACGCCGAGATACTTATTATGACAGGCGTCGCATAACAGTCGGCAAAATCGGGAAGAAAAAATTATTAGAAGGGGATCAGTGGTCATGTTGTAGTGTTATAGTTTAGAATTGATGATGCTGGTTTACTTATTGTCATAACCATTATGCAGATTTACATTTCATTTTATAAATAACAAAAACAATATCTGATTTATAACAAAAAATTAATAAAAGTTTTGAACACATAAGCTATGGCAATGAATATGAACATCATAATAAAAATAATTATGTCTAATTGGCATAGAAACATAGGAATGACTTTGTAAGGGGCAGGACACTTGATAAGGTCATTTATTATTTTTGCATATGACAACTCGGGCAGCCACACTTCAAAGCGACAAGCATCATGCAGCTTCTTTTCAAATTAGCGAATAGCAATTGTGTTGCTTTTAAAATAACAATTACTGAATAATAGAAAAATCAAATTACCCAGAAAAATCGCTCAACTTGTTCACAGTGTACTTATGGAAGCTGAGCACGTTTTGCTGTACAATTAGAGGGAGTATGAGCCAGAGTTACCAGGGCTTTCAGTTGACGCTAGACTGATATTTTAGAGCATGTTTTGACTCCCTAAAATAAAAGTTTACTCCTTGGTTTTAAAGACAGGTTTATTTGACCTATGTTTTGACACTCAAAAATTCAAGAAGAATTCTATTTTACTTTTGAAATTATTAAATGCCAAGATTCAGCTAAAAGCCCTGAACACTTTTTATCATTTAAGGATGTAGCACTTCCAAAAACTGGAACTATCCATATATAGGAAACTTATTTGTTTGGTATGTGTATATATCTTTGATAAATCATGAAACCATTTTTGTGCTCAAACCAACATTCTTATTTCAAGAATAAGCTCTTCTGATTTTAAGCGGTTTTTGGTTTGAAGTGATTAGTCTCTCTACAATTCTTCATAATCAGTGGGAAATTGTGATTTACACAGAAATAATTAATTGGGCTTGAGTACAAAATCTGAGTTTGAGCAAAACCTGGAGAATGGTTTCATAAATATGTGCTCATGATTTCAACTCCAGACTCCAGATCAGTATACTAAACCTACTGAGCTACCTGATCGTCACTACTGTTATACATATCTAAATACAGTAGAATTCTGTAGTGTTTTGTCTGCCGCAGCAGGACATGGATCTTTAATTATTTTTGTTTTATGAATTATTTGTTACATTTGTTCGTGTTGCTTTGTGGTTTTTCTTTTCTTTTCAGAGACATTGACAAAATGACACCTACGTAGAAGAATTGGAAGGAGGTAGGTTAAATTTTCAGTTTCAAACATGTATAAAACTACAGTAAAACTGTTAGATATACATGAATTTATGATAAAGAGCACTATTGTTTGATACACTTATATATAACCAAATAGTTACTACTAGGGATATATATATATATACCAATATTAAACAAATTTGAAACTGTCAAAATTCAAAATGGCTGTCAGTGTCTGGTGGCCATCTTTTTTCCCCCTTGATCAGTCTTACAACCAATTTGACAAAGATCTGTACAGTACTTTTTTGGAAATAGTGTTAACAAGACTTTGTTTTCTAACTTTGATTAATGGTATACTATGTATAACTGATACTATAATATTTCAGAGAAACGAGGACGCCTTAAGGATGTAGTTGTGCCTTCAATATTCACTTTCATGGCCGCACCAATACCAGCCAGCCCAAGGGATGAGAGACAACTAAAGTCTCCCCCCCCCCCCTACACACACACAGCCCCAGAAGGTGGAACCATTTGGTGACAACTGTGTTGGTGATGTGGAGCAGGAAGTGGAGCTGCCACCAGGCAATATTGATGAAACTGCAAACTGAAGAAATTGTTGAGGATAGTTCAATTGCATCAAGATTATTTTTTTTTTTTCTCACTTCTTAATTTCAGAGCTCCCTTAGTGGACAAAAATGCCTTGTCAATATACTGGACATATTGTTTCATTAGTATAAACTACATGTACTACACTATACATAAATAAGCCCACCTTCTGTTATCCACTCATCTTTCATTCTATAATGATTGCTTGGAATTTAATTTGTGTCTCCAAGTCGAGAAAACTTTTAGCAATCTGTAAAATACATAAAAAATGTACTTTTATGTTTGGTGACTGCAAACTACATTGATTTGGGCTTATTGGAAGTTAAATTTAGATACACGTACATGTATATATTACATGAATATATATCTTGAAGTTGTCAACCATTAAGATATTTCTTATACCATCTTTGCCATAATTAATGCTCCTCACTCAATAAGTACCCCTCCTCCTTTTTCAGGAGGTATTTACGCCTGGTGATCATGGATTTGATGCTCACAAATAAGTCTTAAAAAACAAGGGACTTGAATGCTGTCTTGTCACAGTTTTCCTAATGATCATGATTATATATATAGTATAAGTAACCTTTTTTCTGCTTAAGCTCTTGTCTTATTACCCTAATAAGAACCCCATTTCAACAATTTTTAGTGCCCTTTGTGCTAATTATAGCAAATATGATAATATTGACAATAAAAATCTATAGAAAGTAACAAGGATATTGACCTTGACCTTTTTACATATGAGAAGCAATGTAAGTCATGAAATGTTTCACATAATATAGGTTTAGTGTGGGTAACGGACTGAATTCACAGTACTCGGTGTCAAATTCTATTTTTTAAACAAGCATGTATACAAAAGTACATGTATATACATGTACAACAAAGTACATCATATATAAGAAACAGAAACATCTTGCTGGTTGTGATCAATGATGTGCAACCTACAAATGGACATCTTATTTCAAGTGTAGCCTTTTCATTGTTGATTCCATCAGGTGAAGCCCCCCGATATGGATACTATGGGTGTACATACAGTCCAGCCCTCTTCACATGTAATATCATTGTTTGTTCACATTTGGTAAAAGCTTTCTTTTCATAATTTTGTCCATGCTGATTGGCTTTTGTGTTAAGAGTCCAAGATGAAACAAGACTCTCACAAAGTTCCCCCATGTTTCGATGACAGGTAGCATGTGTGACCCAAACCTAGATGCAGTAATCCTCCACTGTCTCTCCTCCACCCCTTTTTTTTACTTTTCACTTGGAATTTGGTTTGGGTCTCCAACTCCCGAGCACCTTCTTCAGTAATCTGTAAAAGTATTGATATGAATGATTTTTACCAAAAAAAGTCTGAAGTTGAATTGCAGTAAATCTGGGTCATTTTGAAACAATGAATAATTATAAAAGATTGGTAGAAATTAAGGGCTCAAACTGTCTGCTTGCCAACCTATGACTGCATTTAAGCTTAGTACTTTCAACTTTATTCCACATTACAATTTTATTCCACATTACAAAGATCAGCTGTGCATTGTGAGACCATGTGATTGGTCATGGTGTGATGATCATGACATTACTACCAACTGTTGGCTGACTTGTGTTGGTTGTTCTATTCATTAAAATTTTATATATGAAATTTTAATATCTATGAATTGTAAAAAATAATTGAAAATAGAAATACAGTGTACAAAGAATTGAGTTAGCTGCATTACAGGACTTATGACTCATTAGAATGCTGTGTACTGTTTTTATGAAATAAAATTCACTTGCAACATGACCAATGACACTCAATTGTATTTAAATCTTTCGATTATAAATACCTGCCAATCTGTACAAGAAGTACTCTTCTATCTGCAGCCAAGTCAATTTGGGAAGGATAATCTTGTGATCTGGTATCAATCGCTGAAATCCAACAACTGGCCAAACACACAAATGGCATCGGGCAGGTAAACAGCAGATTATCTGAAGTTGCTATTTCTTTCATAGGCCTTTAATCTAAAAATAATAAAAACAAAAATATGCGGTCTATAATTAGTGAGTTAAAAAACAAAAATCAGTCTGTAATACTACTTTTACACTACATGTATTTAATTTCATTCCTTAATTTCTGTTATATGAAACAAAACAAAATAATCTAATAAATGTGATTTCTACAGAGACAGTCCAAATAGATATATTCTGTAATTTGTTCTCGGAGCCCCTGTGTTCCTATACATCTTTTTGTATACTGATATCTTTTGATGAGAACATTATAGTTCACCTACACACTTCTCATGCATACTGCTATTCAGAGGGACGATTCTACCCCTGAATGGTTTTCTTAATCATAAGGTGTTGCACATTCCTGTGATCAAATAGATCCTGGCTGTGTTCCAACAAATAC